TCCTTCAAAGAATAATCATGTAACTATAGTGAGGTAGCCCTGGATGTTAAGGGAGAGTAAATGTTTAGAAAGTAGAGGTGGCATGTAGAGGGTTTGGTTCTTTTATATGTTGCACTGCCAGGAAATCGTGTTTGTAATGTTGTGATCACCTCTGACTCCTTATGTTTTCAGTAAAATCTTGGGGGGGAGAAGCTAATGGTTAAATGATTACCAGGGTTTCACTGTCTATCCCTTGTTGGTTGCAAACTCTAATTTCATTTTGGAGAAGTATTTTTAATTTTATATGGTATTTCTAACTAATTTTATCCACACAAATTCTATAAGCTAACAGATCAATAAGTTAACGTAACAGGATCAAAATAAGCAATGTTCTTCTTACTGGCCTCCAGAATTCTCTTCTTCTTTCATATAAAGAGGAAGAGTTTTCCAATATAATATCGATGTGAATATTATCTTTGCCTGCCTGAAAGAAGTTTCAGATAACTATCTGGAGTTAGTTCTTTTTCTGAACATTTTCTGTTTTGATCGAGTTCATTTGCTCACTCACTTCATAGTGATTTTCTGAATGTCTGTAACAAGGAAAAGATGCTCAGAGAACACATGAAAATGAAAATTTATAAATACAGTTTTTTAAAATGACCACACTAGAAGGAACCCTGGCAGCACAGTGGCCATGCACTGCACTGCCAGCCAAGCCCTGTCTGCATCTAGCTTGGGAATCCCTCAGGAGCTTTCCTGTGCTCTCCTGTAGGTCACGGGGAGCAAAAACTGACTTGATGGCATGGGCTTGTTTTTTTGGAGTGATTTTTTAATCATTACTATTGTTATTATTATGAAGCAAAAGGACATGTATAAATTATATTGCTGGTAAGAATAGGATCTAGTTAGGAAATTGTCATGGTTTGGGTTCATCTTGCTTGGATCCACAATTGACACCCTTGGTACCAGCAGTCAGGAAATAAAGAGATGCATTACACTGGGACAAGCTGCAGTTAGGGATCTCTCCAAATTATTGAGGGGTGAGGATGTCAGTTTGAGGACTAATGTGCATCTGACTCAGGACATAGTCTTTCCAATTGATTGCTATGCATCTGAGAGCTGGACAGTGAATAAAGATGACAAAAAAAACAATTGATGCCTTTGAGCTGTGGTATTGGGGAAAAGTACTGAACATCCCATTGATGACCAGGAAAACAAATGGTTATGTCTTGGAGAGGGTGTAGCCGAAGTGCTCTTTGGAGGCAAGAATGATGAGGCTTCGCCTCACATACTTTCAACATGTTGTTAGGAGAGGCTATTCCTTGGAGAAGGACAAGATGCTGGGAGGGGTGGAGTGTTGGTAAAGGAGAGGAAGACCCTCAACCAGGTGGATTGGCACAGTGACTGCAGCAGTGGGCTCTTATGTATAAAGAAGTGTGAGGATGGTGCAGGATAGAACAGGGTTCAGATCTTTTGTTCATAGGGTCACTATGAGTCGTACTTGACTCGACAGCACCTAACAACAACATGGCTTGGGTGCTCATAAACTTAACATCTTTGCCTTATAGACTTGGTGAGAGTTTGAAATTATTTTGGATGTTTTTTTGAAGGATAACTGGTTGAATTTTTCTTACTTTTAATATGTGTGTGTTTGCATGTGTGTTATGTGCCATTGAGTCAGAACCAACTCTCTAATGGGTTTTCAGGTGCTGTAAGTCACACAGAAGCTTGCCCATAATTCTCCTGTGGAGCCACTGGTGGATTGAAACTGTATACCTTTTATATCAACTGACTGGAAGAGATTCATATTTGTTCCCATTCCAAAGAAAGGTGACCTGTCAGAGTGCGGAAATTATTGAACAATATCATTAATATCACATGTAAGCAGAGTGTGGAAATTAGCGAACAATATCAGTGAGATCACATGCAAGCAAGATTCTGCTGAAAAACGTTTGGAACAATATGTCAACAGAGAACTGCCAGATGTGCGGGCTGGATTTAGAAGAGGTCATGGTACTAGGGATATTATAGCTAATGTTAGATGCATCTTGGCTGAAAGCAGACACACCAGAGGAATGCCTATCTGTGTTTCATTGACTGTACAAAGGCGTTTAACTGTGTGGATCACAAAGAACTGTGGCTAACTCTGAGAAGAATGAAAATCCCAGAACACTTGGTTGTACTTATGCAAAACCTATGCTTGGACCAGGAGGCAGTCGTCAGAACAGAACAAGGAAACACTACATGGTTCAAAATCAGGAAGAGTGTACTCCAGGGATGTGTCCTATCTCAAGACCTTTGCAATCTATATGCAAAAAAGGCCATCTAGGAGGGTGGGCTCTATGAGGAGGAATGCAGCATCAGGATTGAAGGAAGACTCAGCAACAACCTGTGTTATGCAGATGACACAACCCTGATTGCTGAAACTGAGGAGAACCTGAACTGCTTGCAGTAGAAGGTCAAGGACTGCACCTTAAATATGAATTGAAACTCAACATCAAGAAAACAAAGATTCTCACCACTGGGCTGATTGGCAGAATCATGATAGATGGTGAAGAGATTGAGATTGTTAACAGCTTTAGTTTGTTTGGCTCTACAACCAACACTCTTGGTACCAGCAGCCTGGAAATTAAAAAAAAAACAACACATTGCATTGGTAACGTCTGCTGTCACGGACCTCTCCAGAGTACTGAAGAACAATGATGTCAGTTTTGAGACTAAAGTGCGCCTTATCCAGACCATAATCTTTGCAATTACTTGCATCAGAAAGCTGAACAATGAGTAGGGATGATAGATAGCCTTTGAGCTATGGTGCTGGAGAAGAGTATAGCATATAACATGGACATCCAAAACAAACAGGTTCATCCTATAGGGGGTGAAACCAGGCTTCTCCTTGGAGGCAAGGATTCTAAAGCTTCGTCTGACTTGCTTTGGACATTTTGCAAGGAGGAACCAGTCCTTGGAGAGGGACATCATGCTTGGAAGGGTGGAGAGACAGCACAAGAGAGAAAGACCCTTGACGAGATGGATTGACCCAGTGACTAGGGTACTGAGGGTAGGTGTGTCAGAGACAATAAGGTTAATACAGGATAGAACAGGATTCAGGGCTGTTGTCCATAGGGTCATTATGAGTCACAAGCAACCTGACCACACATAACAACAACAAACATACTTTAAGTACGTGGCCTGTAGAGACTAGTCCTTGCAGAAGGACATCATGTTCAGAAGGGTGGAGGGACAGTGCAAGAGAGGAAGACCCCAGATAAGATGGATTAATACAGTATTTGGGGCAATAGGGATTGGTGTGTCAAAATTAGTGAGACTGGCTCAGGACGGGGAAGGATTCAGAGCTCCTGTACATAGGGTCGCTATATGGCACAGGCGACTCAATGGCATATAACATCAAAAACATACTATATTGGTTGCTTTTTTATTTAAGTATCTTGTTTACAGTCTACAAGACCTGGGGAGGGCCTTTGTATTTAAAAATCCATTGTTATATTTTGAAGAAACATTCTTCTAAGTGGTACAGCACTCGTCTGTTGATATGCTGTACTGAGGTAACCTGGGGTGGCCGTGATGCTGAACCTTGAGCCATGGGGTTTCAAATGCCATAATGGTTACCCATGGTGTACAGTGTTTGGTGGAGCTCCCAGTGTAAGACAGGTTTAGAAGCAGGAGTGGCATCCACTTCCTGAACAACATATCTCTGGAAACTCTAGGAACTTTGATAAATGACAATAGTTCTAAAACGGCTTCAGGCCTTTTGTTCATAGGATCACTATGAGTCATGCTCGACTCAACATATGTTGTTGTTGATTGCTGTCCAGTCAAGCACCATAGTAACCCTATGAACAAAAGACCTGAAGCCTTTCAATAACTATTGACATTTATCAAAGTTCATAGAGTTTCTGGAATTATGTTTACATACACACACACACACACACACACACATACATATATACACAGAGAAAGAGAGAGAGACATACAGGCGTATGTATATTTGTGGAATGCTTGACATCATGCTGGGAAAGGTGGAGGCTAAAAGAAAGAGGAAAGTCTCAATGAAATGGATTGACACAGAGACTACCCATGGGGTGAAGCCTGTGGATGATCATGAAGGTGGTACAGAATAGGGCAAGGCTCAGAATTGTTCATAGGGTTGCTGTGATTCATAGTTGATTTGACAGCATGTAACAATGCCAGTTTGCACTGATCATAAGAAAAAAATAGTAATAGTAAAATATGTTAAAATAGAAACATAAAACTTATGAAAAGAAAATGAAAATATTCTTCTAAATATATATGATACTATATCTCATTAGAACCATTAATTTATAATAATAAACTATAACATTTAGTAATTTTAAAAGTGAGACTTAAAAATATTCAAAGGTTGGGTAGAGGGAGGGGTGGATAAAGGAAATGGGAAAGATACGGTGTGAAAAACAATGTATGTGAACTTTTTAAGTAAACTAATATAAAACATAATTTTTATTTTAAATTTAAAAAGATATTCAAAGGTAAAATGCTGACATTAGGGGAAACAAAGTTAGGGACATATAGAAATTCTGAACTGTTAATATTTTAGTAACTTTTCTCTAAATATAAAATTTTTACAGAATTGGCGTCTAAAAAATAATTTACTCAATTAATGGCTTTAGACACTTTGCTTATTTAGGAATGCTGTCCTATTTGTTAATATACTTCAAGAATGCTGACTGGGTCATATGTCACTTGATCTTCTCTCTAGTAACACATCTGGTATTGAAAACAAATCTAAAATATTTCTAATGAATGTCCAAATTATTGCACAGTTACTTGTTTAATACTTTGAACAGCTCTAGAAAGTAAGCAGTAAGATTGTACTTATTTTACAGATGAGAAAATTTAGACCCGAAGAGGAAATCATTTCCCCAGCATCACACTCCAAAGTATTTGACTATATGCAGTTATATTGCTATGTTCACTTGGCAGAAATGGCTTCCGTTTTGAGAATGAATGTTTGTGTTCCTTTCCAGCTGTACACAGCGCCCCTTTTTCCACCAGTGAGCCCACAGGCATTATCCCACGAAGCTGCCAACTCACGACAGATGTTCCACAAGTCACACAGCTGCTGAATATGACCAAGCTGCACCAGACAGAAATAAGATGTGGCGGTCACCCCCTGCGGTCCGCGGAATCAGGTAAGCTCCCAGATTGCCTCATTTGAAAGCACACGTTTTTGGTAAGGCTGACAAAAGAAAACACACAGTACTCTATCTAAAGCTTGAGGTTAAATATTCTTTCACTTTGGAAGCATTGACTCATACAATAAATCCTTAATCTTTTCCATTTCTTTTGGATTTTAGCAATCTGTTTGAAGTATTTTTCCAAGTCCTGACAATTACATGTCCTAAACCTCTCATATATGTCTCCTTCTCTTTCCTATTGTTGCTTCTATTATTCGGGCCCCAATATCTCTCACCTGCAAGGCGTTACTTTCCCAGCTGGTTGGCCACGTTGCTGTTAGAATTCTCTTTCTGTGATAGAAATGTGATTGTCGTGCTCTTTGATTAAGAATTTTTCATTTTTGATGCCTTCTGCAGTAGCTAGAAGATAAAATGAAAGACCTCTTCCAAGATATCCGAAGCCATAACCTCCCCTAACCAAAAGCTTGTCTCCCAACATCTTCCCTTCACATTCAGTTGTGGTTTTCTGGCCTTTCCATGAGTTTTCACATGTTCATATTCCCTTGACCTACAAATGTCCTTTCTTCTCTTTTTTGCCTGGAAAAACTCCCAGTGTGTTATTCAACAGCCAGCACATGTGCTTCCTCTTCTGTATGACTGTCCTGAAGCCAGGCTGCTCCTTGGAGTCAAGGATTCTGAAACTCTGTCTGACATACTTTGGACATGTTGCAAGGAAGGACCAGTCCTTGGAGAAGGGATGTCATGCTTGGGAGGGTGGAGGGACAGCACAGGAGAGGAAAACTCTCGATAAGATGGATTGACTCAGTGACTGCGGTAATGGAGGTAGGTGTATCAGAGACAATAAGATTACACAGGATAGACTAGGGTTTAGGGCTGTTGTACATAAGGTCGGTATGAGTTGCAGGAGACTCGATGGCACATAACAACAATTGCAACAGACATTGCTCTTCTTTTTCATATTTTTTTCATCTCTCCTTTTTTTACAATCCTTTTAAATATATCTACATCCCCCAAGGAATGCCACATTCCCTGGAGAGCTCTGGTGTCCTTGTGGTAAGAAGCAGTGATGCATTCCCAAAGGCATGTGGTCTAAATCTCCCCGCTGCTCCATTGGGGCAGAACAGACAGTCTCCCCTCATGAGATTTACTGCCTCTGAAGACCCACTGGAGGTCAGCTATTAGTTGGTTCTGACTTGACAGCACACAACAACAATTGCCCCCATAAAGTGTGACTTTTCAAAAATGGGGTCTTTATGTCATTCTTCTGTATCCCTAACACCTAACACAGTATTTACTATATATCACAGTCGAAACTACAAGCTCAGGTGACTGTAGAGGCCAGGAAAATAATGTAAATCTAAATAGAGTCGGCTGGATGCTTGAATAGTCAAATTATAGAATGAGTTTCTACTTAAACAGTGGATTTCATTACAAGGGCAGAGTAGTGTTTCAGAGAAATTTTCCACTGTAAAAACAATAATGCCAAAAACTGTGCAAATGAAGTACTAAATGTTGTTAGGTGCTCTGGAGTCGACTCCAAGCCACAGCAACTCTCTGAAACACAGCTGTAACAGCTGTTAAGCTTTGCCTATCCGGCACCGGCCTCACAGTCTCCACTGTGTTTAAGCTCGTTATTCCGGTTACCGTGTCAGTCCCTCTGGCTGAGGGTCTTGCCCTCCTTCACTGACCCTCTTCTCTGCTTTTCTAAGCATGATGTCTTTTTCCATGAACTGGCCCCTCCTGCTACTATAACTGAAATATAAGAATTTAAGTCTCAGTCTCTTTGCTTCTAAAGAACACCTTAACCACACCTCTTTCAAGACAGAGTGATCTGTTTTTTCTGCAAATCCGTGGTATATCCAACAGTTTTCACCAACACCACATGTCAAAGGCATCAGTTCCTCTTTTGTCTTCTTTAATCATTGTCTGATTTCCACATGCATATGAGCATGTGAAGCAGCTGAAAATACCATCGCTTACTATACTTGGACCAAGAAGCAGTCCTCAGAACAGAGCAAGGAAACACCACATGGTTCCAGATCAGGAAAGGAGTGTGTCAGAGATGCACTCTGTCCCCATACCTTTTCAATCTGTATGCAGAAGAGAACATTTCCTTGCTCTGTTCTAAAGACTGCTTCCTTGTCCAAGTATAGGTTTCACATGAGAACAATTAAGTGGTCTGGGATTTCCTTTTTTCTCAAGGTTAGCCAAATTTTTTTGTGATCCACATAGTCAAATGCCTTTATATAGTCATTGAAACACAGATAGACATTCCTATGGTAGTATTTGTTTTCAGCCAACATCTATCTGACATTGGTGATACTGTGCTACCCCATGTTGTTACTGTTGTTGTTATGCTATGTACCATCAAGTTGGAACTGACTCATCGCTGACACTTCAGCAGGTTTTCAGAGGCAGTTAACTGCATGGGAGGAGATTGTTCATCCTTCTGCACAGCAGCTGGTGGATCCAAACCACGTGCTTTTGGGTTGACAGCTCAACTCTTTACAACTAAGCCACCAGAGCTCATGCTACCCAATAGTGATTCTGATTTCATTGGTCTGGGATGAGATTTTTAAAAATCCACAATAAACACTAGTGATGGAGTTCTCAGAGAATAAAAATGATTAAGTTCTGCTCTGTAATGTGTAGGTCACTTGGGCTTCAGTAATTCTAATGTACAGCTGACATTGAGAATCACTAGATCATTAGTCCCAAAGAGGTTACATCATCCAGGTGGCACTCATAAACACCATTGTGGAAAAGGTAAAATGATTAGTAAGATATTTACAGGGCATAAGTGGATACGAGAAGCATGAGATTTATGAAAATGTAAGATGTGGCTATAGAGAGCATCTTTGGGACAGAAGATCAAGTGACTAAAAAATTTATGGATAAATTTTCTAAAGGACTAATGAAAATGGAATGAATAGGCAGAACTGGCTGTGTTGGAAGAATGCAGTAAGACTTTTTCATATCTTTTAAGGTAGAAGAATGACAGTGTCTTTTTTAGGGGGTTGATTTTGGCATCACAATTCAAGATGAAACTTTATGTCAAATGAGTCCAGAAGTCGAATACAAAGAAAGTATTTTTGCCGCAGTCTAGTTATAAGAGTGACAGAGACTCAAGCGGACAATGTTGTGGAGATGGAAAAGCAATGATCCTGAGGAAAAATGGCAAGATTTGCTGTTTCTCAAATAACAAAGAGGAAGAGAGATGGCTACAGTTGAAAGTGGTTAAAATAGAAATCAGGGAATACAGAAGACGATGAAAGTGAACAAGTGAGAAAAGTTGATTCTATTTCTAGGTCCATATTTCATTACATATTCACTTATTCTTGGTGTGTTCTTGATGTATCAGTCGACACCAAGCCCAAACCCATAATGGACAGGATGGAACTACTCCGGGGGGTTTCACGGCTGTACATATTTATGGAAGCGAATTGTCTCAGCAGACTGTCTCTCGTCATTTTCCTGCTGAGCAGATAGTAGATTTGAAACAGCAGTCTATTGATTAGCAGCACAGTGTTTAATCCAGTGTGCCATCAGGACACTTGCATCAATATTGTTGTTGCTGTTCTGTGTCATCAAGTCAAAGCTGATTTGTAACTTCTCCTCCAGCAGGTTTTCAGAGGCTGGAAAGTCACGTAGGAGGAGATGCCTGTCTTTCTTTTCTGATCAGCTTTTGTGTTCAGTTGTCCACCTTTGGATTGGCATCACAACTTCTTACCCACTGCGTCTCCAGAATACCTCATTCAGCTAATACGTAATCTATACCTAGACCAAGAAGCTGTTGTATAAATAGAACAAGTGAACACTGCAGGGTTTAAAATCAGGAAAGCTATGTGCTAGGGTTGTATCCTTTCTCCCTACCTATTCAGTATGTATACTGAGCAAATAATTCAAGCTGGACTCGGGAGAAAAATGTGGCATCAGGATAGGAGGAAGACTCCTCAGCAACCTGCATTGTACAGATGACACAACCTTGCTGCCTGAAAATGAGGAGAACTTGAGGCACTTGCTGCAGAATATCAAGGACTGCAGCCTTCAATATGGATGACATCATCTCAACATCAAGAAATCAAAAATCCTCACCAATAGACAATATTATGATAGACGGAGAAAAGATTGAAATTGCCAGTTATTTAATCCAATTTGGATTCGCAGTAAACACCTGTGGTACCTTAGTCCTTAAACTGACATCACTACTTCTCAATAATTTGGAAAGGTCCCTAACTGCAGATTTTCCCAGTGTAATGCATCTCCTTATTTCCTTACTGCTGGTACCAAGGTTGTTGTCTTACTTGTGGATCCAAGTAAGATAAAGCTGTTAACAGTTTCAATCTCCTCTCCATCCATCATGACGCTGTCCAGTGGTAAGAATCTTTGTTTTTCTGACATTGAGTTGCAATCCACACTGAAGGCCACATTCCTTGACCTTCTGCAACAAGTGCTTCAAGTCCTCCTCACTTTGAGCCAGCAAAGTTGAGTCGTTTGCATAACAAAGATTATTGATGAGTCTCCCTCCAATCCTGATGCCACACTCTCTTCTTTTTTTGTCAGCATTTGCATAGAACCTACATATATCCTCCAGTATAGCCAAAGTACTTGCAATACCTAGTGCAATGTACCCTTTGTGCTCCCTTTTACCCTTTGAAGCACTGCTTTTACCACTTAATTGCTTCCCCAACCTGCAATAATTTCAGTCTGCATTTGGTTGGCTACCCAATGTAGAACCCACAGATCTGGAGGGCTGACTGTATGTTTTAATTGAACAGAAGCTTTTTCAAGGAACATATCTGATCCTACCTTGTAGAGGAAAACACTGTTTTATTTTGAAAATTCTATACATGACTTTCAATGCATAGTAATCATCAGCTTGATTTATATGTACAGAAAATTATAACCATTGTCTAACAGCATATTTATTATGCCCCGTGAATCTCAATTGTATTTATATTCATTTGTAACCATCAGGTTTATGATTATTCTTC